AAAACGCATGATCGCACCGGCTCGCCTGGTGCGTTCCAGCCTGGGTTTTTTTTATTCACAACATATAGTCGAGAGTTTGTGTGTATGTATGTGAATGTGCGTGGGTTTGTGTATGTGTGCATGCGTATATATGTGTACATGCATGTATGTGTATGTGTGTGTTTGTGTGTGTGTCTTTGTGCGGGCAAGTAAAATGTGTCACCCATCATCAGTCGGAGAACCAGATGAGCTTGAAAGCAGAAATTTTTCGAGTACTTTCCCACCTCATGTGCGACCCTACCGTTTTGAAATTATCGTTAAAATACGTTTGAGTGTCACGTACGAACATCGAAAAGAAAATGTTTCCTGGCGGAAAGCGATTTTGAAAACCAACGAACTTGGGACGCTGAAGCTTTGCAGGAATCTCCCCTTTCCAAGGTTTAAATTTATTTATGATGCAAGCTTACGTGATTAACTCGAGGATTAGCTGGGAGAGCGAAGAATATTTATAGTCCATGTGGGACGCGTGTACTTACACTGAGTTTAGGATTGCACTTTTATTAGTTTTAAGGCAGTCTAAGTCTTGCACTGCGCACAACTAGAGTTTCAAATTTAGCACCCATTTGCTCAACAACCACAATAGACAGGAAGTCGAGATTCTGTCAGAATGCTTAGTATCCATATGAAAGTCTGAAAAATTCATAGGCGGGTCTAGGGGCTGGGCTGGGGTATGGTCGAAGGGTCCTTCCCCCTTCTCTCCTCCCACTCCCTCAGCGAGACGGACACCAGTACTGCAAAAGCCTGGGTTTGTTCATAAATAAAACTAAAGTAACTCTAAATGGCAGTGTTACAACTCTTTTCCTAGTTCTCGCACAGTTCCAGGGTGGGAGAGGGCTCTTCTCCCACCTTCCGTCGTCCTCGCCCCCTTCCCGCTCAAGAACCCTACTCTTCCCCCACCCCCGCCCCCCTCCCTCGCCACTAGGAGCTCACCTCTCCCTCCCCTCCCCCAACCCCATACACCGTTGTCTCCTCAGGAGTCCTTTCTTGATCCGCAAGTGGAAAAATTATGATTAGCTATCATAATTGTTTCAGTCTGGTGAGCTAAGGGTGCGTCTTGCCGATAATTTGTTATATTATAATCATACATTCCTGAGTT